TTCTTATTGCCCTCGGTGTGTGTAAATGTGAGAAGGCGAGCAGGAAGTGGACGATTTTTTTTCTTCCCAAGCTACCGCAGAGAAAGAACACCTTTGAAATGGGATTTGTTTGAAAATAGAGAGACAACTGTACATTTAATATATGAAAACAAAAGAGCCTTTTGTGTTTAAATCAACACGTGTACCAAAATAAATAAAAAACATAAGAATTTCCATGGACTTCCTCATCTTCAAAATCGTAAGCTAAATTTATCGACGAGTTAAATAAAAATGAAAAATTTCAAAAATCAACTAACTTAAGAATAAAAATTTGGTTTTTATATTAATTGTGAGATTTTCCAGGATTTGAAAAAAAAATTTTAATTAAAGTTGTCTTGAAAAGCTATATAAAGTATTAACTTGTGTGGAGCCAAACGTGTATTCACTTTTGGGGAGCATCAAATTAATTAATTCATGCATTGCCCTTTAAACAAACGAGCTCTATTTATAAGGTAGAGCATCTAAATCATTCACATATATTTGATGATTTTATGGATAAATATTTTATATAGATTTTCTTTGGAGATGCTTTAAAATGTAAAAAGCTGAACATGTCTTTATAAATCAAAATTGCATATTTGACCAAAATTATATATTTCAATGATATTGGGATTTCCAGTGAAATTTTCCTATATTTTTAAAGTTTTCACGTTTCCTGTTTTGAATTAAGGAATCATATAATTTCATCTAGACCGCCCCTATGACATAAACACTAGTCAGAAAATATTGTGATATACAAATATGCGAAATATCCATATATTTCAAATAACATCTTGAACATCTTAGCCTTTAGAACTACTGTGAGAAATAGCATTGTCACTAAAATTTAGAATGTAATGTCAAAGTGCCAAAAAATGTATATTTACAATGAAATATTAAATTAAAAGTTATTTTTGATAGGAGAAAGAGAAGAGTATTATCTAAAATAAAATTTACCACAAATAGTCATTTTTTTATTAATTTAAAAATTTATTTAAGTAAAAATATTTTTTTTAAATGTAACTTCAAATATAATTATCTCATTACAATTTTGAATTAAATATTAATCAAGTTTTTATTTTTTACTTGGCTCTTGGCTCTTTTGTTTAAATTTAATTTTTGTTTAAATCTATGTGCACCTCTAAATCTTTTGTTGAAATTGATAAAGACACTCATTTACGTTTGCCTCTTTCACCTCTCGTAAAATCGCACTGCAGCGCTTTTTCCAAGAAGCTGCAGCGCCAATGATTTAGTGCAAATTCCGACTCACTCTACCCGCATAACGTTCAACCTACCCACTTCAATAAATAATATTGCGCACACGTAAGGCAGTGACCGTCGCCGGCGTGCAGGGGGACAAAAATATTTACGACACGTTCGCCGCCTCACAGACGTAATTACCTTCAGGTCAGGGGTCGTGTCTTTCAACCCGCCGGGTCGGTGATTCACTCAGTGTGTGTGCCGAAGAGACCATTGTTGCCAGGGTTTATCTGATGTGGCCGTACGCCCGGCATCAAACAATAATGAATATACGATCGTTCGCCGGCTTTGCGGCTCGCCCAATATGGGATGAATTGAGCCTTTCTGTGTGTACGTTCGGGTAATTTGTCTTCGGCTTGTAATTCACCTCCACAGTGCTTCACGGTATACAAAAGGCGAGAGAAGGAATTTTTATTTACAAGAGATGTATAACATGGGGATGCCAATAACGATGAAAAATGTGCGTGGAAATAGTAAAAAAAAATTGATTTATTTTAATATATTCCTGATAATTGCTATCTGAAGTAAAAATTCAAAAAGTTTAAAAGCGTTATTGTTCTCAACTTAAAAAAGTCTAACAAATGGTAAAAAAGATTTTGTGGTAGAATTTCACAATCGAGGGTTGATTCATGGTGATTTGAATTTAAAATCGGCTTTTCCTCGATGGGTTTTTGTGAGTTGTTTATTGTTTAAGAAAAAACAATATCCTGCTCTACATGTTTCGGCTGCGGGCTGCAGCCATAATTCATGAGCTTTCTCGGCGGTGGTCGAGAGAAGACTGACCACCGCCGAGAAAGCTCATGAATTATGGCTGCAGCCCGCAGCCGAAACATGTAGAGCAGGATATTGTTTTTTCTTAAACAATAAACAACTCACAAAAACCCATCGAGGAAAAGCCGATTTTAAATTCAAATCACCAGGTAAAAAAGATGTTACTACACTGGAGAAATCTCTTCCTAAAAGTGGGATGGAATTTAATTATTTTAAAAAAGATTAATGAAACCAGAATAAAACTAAAGAAGACCATAAATAATTATTAAATACTGCAAAAAAAGTGGAAAACTACATAAGTTAGTTTTAAAGAGGATTTCCGGGTATACTGAGATGGATAAATTATTTTAAATAATATTCCGAAAGGAGGTACCAAGCATCAGTATTGTCATAAATTAGAAAAATTGATTTTAGCTTCAATCCGATTGAATTGAATGATACATTTCCAGATGCAATTTTGAGTGAATTGAAAATTAAAAGAGTTGTCAGGATTTTATGAGGATATTAATGTGATCTTGAGAATTAGAATTGAAATTTGTAGATATATGTATTACTGTTTTATTTTTAATATTTAGTCACTTATCAATCTATTTAAATTAACCAGTGCCATAATAAATTTTAAAACGATTTAATCTCACCAATTCGCGTTTTCCTCCTGCTGGGCCTCCTGGCCACGCACGTAGGTGTTTGTGCAAAAAGTCAGAAGCATTCACTGGGTCAGAATTTGATTAATGAGCTGGCGCATTGTGTTCCACATTGCGGCTGTGTGAGAAATAAAGAAGCCTCGATGAGACTGTGCAGCTCTCTCGCTCCGAAGATCGCATTATGCGCCGCCGTCGCTGATTATAAACACAAATGAATAATTTTCTCAGACGCGTTAGCATTCAACTGCTGGCATAATGTAAGCGCTAAAAAAATATGTTCCGTTCGAAATCGTTCTCTTCAATTTTCAATCAAATCGAGGTTAATCACCGCGAAAACTGTCCGAGTGAGGTTTTCGCGCTCGATAACTGAAAAGCATGAAATTGCACAAAAAATTCCGCTTGCTGTGAGTGTTGCGTTTGCGTTCACCACGTAATTGTACTTAAGTGTACTCGTCTGCGATGTAAGTACCATGCATGCACACTTTGACGTCATCTTTAAGCGCGGCGGCCAAAGGAAATCGCAGAGTATTTCATTTACGTAAAGAATCGAAAACGATCATGTGACCCGAACAGCACGGAAAACGAGGACAAAGATTTCAATGAAATTTGCAATGGTTACACATATGCAAGTCTATGAATCTGTTTCTTTAATAATCAATGAAACTCTTAAGGAATAAATACAAAGAAAGTTTGTTTCCATAATCAAAACGTTACCCAACGGTTAAAATGGAAAATTGCATTAAAATTTTATGTTCAAAGAACCGACAAGAGAAATCTTTAATCTTTGATTTCGAATGTAAACACAAAAATTTCAAATTTTAATTGAAAATATACATTCCTAAGAAAATTCTGAATATCAAAATTTAATAAAGTATCCTTTTCAGAGCTTTTTTAATCAGTTTTCAGAAATAAGTTAAAACTCAAACTGGAATGCAATTTTCTATACAAAAACACGCTCTAGATTTTAAAATCTGGTAGTTTTTAACTTTGGAATGGAAGTTTTTTACAGCGCTAAAAATCCCACCGCATTTTTTGATGAAGCTATAAATTTGTTTTTATTGGAAGAAACACACGGAGGCAAATTTCGACGGCGCGCTGCACAACACACACGGCGCGTATATAAATAATTAGAATATAAGCGAGAGCCGACGGTCTGCGAGGTGGTGTGTGTGGGCCCGTGAAGGCCGGCTACTGCCGTGGAGCCCATTCCTTTATAGGGTATCACGGAGGTGGTCATGCCAAATAAGAAACACCACCACTTTGTATGCGCCAGCTGAAGGGCACGGGGTCATTAAATCAGCTGACGACTCCAAACTTGCACTCTCTGTTAAAATGTATATAAAAGTTTATTATTAATTTCCATATTGGGCCTCTCGGGTTGATCACCTGAGGGGAATTTTCGTGCCGGCGACCAACAGGGCGTTGCACTTCTTTATTTTGTTGAGGTGCGTGCAGCGGCTCCTGTTGAAGAACGAACCCTTTTTCCTAGCTTAATTAGGGTCATTACATGCATGACTTTCTTTGTGCCGGCGACTTTGGCGGTCAGCCAGAACGGTCAAGGGCAGTTTAGAGCTTGATTCTTTTCCAACTTAAATCGTCACAATTATTAATAATTGCTGAGCAATTTAATAAGGAAAGCATTCAAAATTGATGGTGGCTCATCCGATAAAAACACTTAAAATTGTATATTTACACGTTTCTTATGGTTTTCATTAAATTTAAGAGGCTAATTTTATAATGCCAATCTAAACTGGGGTAAAAATAAAAGAGGATAAAATTTTTGTTCAATTAAAACTGGAAAATTTGAAAATAAAACTAATATCTCAATTATTTATCAAGATTAAAAAGCTGAATACAATAATTTCTCAATACCATAATAATTTAGTCAACACGGCACTGTCCTTTCACAATTATAAATCTCACAGAAAAAAAATGGTCATCAAAATCACTCTGATCAAAGTTTTTATATTTTGAAATGAGATTGATAAACAGGGCTTTCTTTGATAATATAAATAATAAATAAACAAAAAATAAATGATTTTTATCGTATACAAATCTAAAGTTATAAATATTTGTTTTTAAAGCATTTAATTATTAAAGGAAATAATTTTCACATTGCATTATCTCAATTTTAATTTCTCTTCCGGCGACTGTGGTAAACCCGAATGCTCCGGCGGTGCTCAGTTGGCACCAATTAATTAGTTTCTTTTAATTGTGTGGTCTTTCTTCAGAAGCCCGTCTAGCACCTCAAAACCGCTGCCAAGTAGAGTGCGAAAAATGCTAATTGCGTTCGCCAACGTGTTTCAGATGACTGGAAAGAGGACTCGCAGCTTCAAGTGCGCAGTGCATCATCGTGACCGGGAGGTCAGCAGTGAAAACGACTTCCACCTTCTCATCCAGGAGCCACCTGTTTTCAGAAAGTGAGTTGACCTGATTTTTTCCGACACTTTTTTGCGTTTCTTATTTCCGGCAGCGGCAGATAAGCGCTGCCGAGAGTTTTTGATAAGGTTATCTTTTGTTTCCAGCTCGTAATTTTCACGTTATAATTACAATAAGAAAGTGAAAAGTTGAATTATTTTAAGACATGGGGCATTGTTTGAGCTGGAGAACTGCGTGGATCTAATTAGACAGCAGATTTAGACCTTTGATTGTATGGTGATCATTTCGGTAGATGATTATCCTTTGTTTGTTAATCTCTCCAGACTATCGTTAATTTTTGCAAACAATAGAAATCCGATAGATTTCTGTTAGTCAAAGAGAGAGATTATTCTGATAAGAGATTAATTATGACTTATATGGATTATATCTTATTTTTAAATTGAGTAACTAAGAAATCCGATGTGTTTTGTTTTGACAGGTTTTTTTTAATTAGTTTAATCGGACAATGGATATTTAAGAATTATTTTATTCTGTCTTTTCTTCTTGACATCTTGTACATTTTGATCGGTTTTGATAATATTTTTTTTTTGTAAATTTTAACTGGTTTGAAAATTTAATAAGAAATAAGGAGCCATTTGTTTTTGAATAAAAACAATTTTTCTGCAACGAGGAAAAGCCCGATCGCTTCATTTCCAAGAAATAATACATTTGAGAATTTTTTGTTTTTAGTATCGTTTTTATAGTAAATATTAAAAATTAAAAAGAAAATATGTTTTCTGTGGAAACTTTCTTATTGTTAGTTTGGAGCAGAACTAAAGCCACAAGAAAGTGATCTCAGATCTTTATGAAAAAAAGGGCGCTCGAATAATATTGATTTTTTAAGTGCAATAATATATATTCTTTAAATCATAACAGTTCATCAAATACAAATATTTTAAAACGTTGAATTTTCTTTTTATAATTTTATATTAAATTTTTACAATTTCTGATACCTTCAATATCAATAGAGAAGAATATGAATTTTAAAAAATACTGGAAATCAAGCATACAAAATATCATGAAATTTATTTCTTTTAATTCATCTTTAAATATTAATGAAGTCGGCAATGGACTTTTGATTTTTAAGAAAAAATTAATAGTTTTAAAAATAGAGAGACAAATGTAAGCGATTTTGCAAATTCCTTAGTTAAAAAGAAGAAAAATCAATCAAATTTTGAAGAACATAAATAAGACATTCAATTCTTTTAGAATATTAAAACTTTTTCATAAATATAGCAGTTTTAAATTAAAGGCAGAGTACGCAGTGGGAATTGGGTTAACGGCCAAGGTGCAAATTCATTGGTGACTCACCGGTCCGAACTGCAAAAGCAACACCCGTTTCGCGAATTTCTGCAAGCACTCGTGCGTGCAAGATTTTCGCTCTCTCTCCGTTCTTTCGTCGGCACCGCCGTAAATATTTACGCACCGAGCCATCAGCAACACATAGGCGCGCGCGAGAGATCAAAGTGGAAAGCAAGGTGGCCGAGAGCCGCTTCTTTAGCAAAAGGTGTACGAATCTATTAGGAAGCGATTGATTGTTTGCTCAAAAGAAAGAATTAACCAAAGGGAAATTTGCGGTGCGGCCCGCCAGCAGAGCGTATTAGGGCGCCAGACAAAATAAAGAGACGGTCGGTTATTTCGGGCGAGCGGTCAGTACTATTAGAGCGAGTGTCTGCCGAATTATCCACGTGTGTCTCGACTCGCGGCGGCCGCGGCACCCCACGCAGCACCCACCGCTCCTTTCCAGCATAAATTAGCACTCAATCCGCGCGCCGGCCTCCGAAAATCGCGGTTCCGCGGCCGCGCCTTTCTACGCAGAGAAACAGACCAGCCGATCTTTGGGCGTGTGTCCGATCGTCCGTCCGTCCGTGGTCTATTCTGACACACGCCGACTCATGAAAAGATCGAAAGACGGCTCTCAAAATCGACACGCGCTTCGCTTTGAACCGCACGTGGGCCCAAACACACGTCAAATCAAAAATCATTATACAAATTATTGGTTTAAAATCAGTTCGAAATGCAAGGCCGGTTTAAATAATATATTATGTTGAATTTGTTTTAAAGTTAATTAATCGTTATTCCTCAAAAAACTTATAAATTGTGAAAAAATCCAATGAAAGAGATAAGAAATTTATTAATTCAATTGTAAATTTACTATGCTTTGCACCTAATGTATCTAGTAAGGTTGTAAAAAATGAATGAAGGGAATAGGAACAATATAAATTTATACTAATTATTAGGCTAAATATTTTACATGAAAACATTTTTACTTTTTTCAATGTTAATATTGCCGAATTATTTTTATAAAAAAAATATAATTGGTGTAATTTGAAATAATATTAAAATATTCTAACACAATTTTATATTGCCAATTTATTTTTACCTTATTTTGAATGTTAAATCATTACATTATTATTTTATTTTTTACATTTAAATAAAATTTAATATTATAAATAAATTTCTTTTTCTTTTGATGAGCACAGCCGCGCGGTCAAGTAGTAATATATTTATTTATTTTTGGAAAACTAAAATGAATAATGTGACTAATGTGTTGTTGCATCAAAATACATTAATTTGTAACAGCTTAATATCTTGACCACATACTTCAATGGTTCTGAATTATATTATTATATGCATTAAATTAAGAATAATATTTGAAATTATGAATTTAAAATGGAAAATTAAATGACACGTTGAGATGATAAAGCTAAATATAGCTGTAAATTGAGGTTGCTATGGTATTTCAGTACAATCACAACGCAGTTTAGAGTCTTACATAATAATTAAATATATAATCCTCGGTTGTCAAAATTAAGTATTCTCTATTTAATACCTATGTTTTTTTTCCAATTTTATTTTAAGCTAGAATCAACACATTAATTATTGCTTCTTTCGTCATTTCCAGAATGGTTCGAATTATTGCTGACGAGTTCCTAACAGAGGAGCGGGACCGAAAGTACTACGCCGACCACTACACCTGCTGCCCGCCACCCCTATTTGTAATATTCGTAACCCTTCTAGAGGTGAGTTCAAAAACCTTGCAAAATATTTGCAATTTCACTCTAGAGACTGGTGAGAAAGGTCCTTAATTTTTGTTTTCATGCTCTCAAGAATTCATTCTGGCAATGGATCTTTACAATATGACTAAAAAAATTGAAGGCTTTTTTTGGAATTGTTTGCGAAAAAATTCATTTTTAGAGTTTCTGACTTGAAACTTTTTCTTAAAAGAAAAACGTTTAAAAAAACTCATACTTAAAAACGTTATCAATTTATTAAAATACTGGGCCTTTTTCAATTTAATTTGTTTAGAAAATTAATAGACTTTTTCATCTCAGTCTACTCATTTTTAAATGGAAAATAACGCCGACTGAGATTTTGAACTCGCGTCACCCTTGTGCAGCCTCCGCGTGCACCGATCGGATTACCATCATTTATGGTGTCCATATTGCACCTGAATTATATTCAGTCTGGAGGCGCTGGTGTGTGCACCCAAGTGCTGGCGAGAGTAGATTCGCGCAGGTGCTCCTTTGTTTCAAGGTTGCGGAATCGCGTGTGTCGCTCACGAGAAATGGGCTGCATCCGTGCAAAAAAGAGTGATTAACCTCTGTTCGATTGCATGCCGAATGTGTGTATGCGCGATCGCCAGCCGAGCACATCTGGAGCCGCTCGAAAATTCAGCAGCTTCTTTTATTGCCTCGGCACATAAATTACAGTAATAAAGCTCTTTCTCAAATCCGCACCAAAGAAGTGGATAATGATTCCGAATGTGTATCGGCGCCCGATTTTTTTTTTCAGATTTTTCAGAGAAAACACGCACCTGCTCAGCACGCAATATGAAAATGCTACTTTTATTGTGCGCGGCAATGCACCGCGTTTTTTCAACTTCATTAATTATTAATGGCCTTCCGAGGAACTTATCAATATTTAAAACTGACCGCTGTGATTTTGGACGTGGCGAGAACAAACATGAACAATTTGTCTGCTGCAATCTAACGAAAATTCAGATAAAATTAACATAAAACCTATAGAAATGAGAGCAGAACGAGTTTAAAATTTGCAAGACCACAGCAGTATTAAAAAAAAAAATTGAGCTCTCAATTTCCAGCATATGAGTGCAGAAATTTGCAATTTACTTACAATTAGTAATCGTTAGATTCTTAATTTTAATCTGCTAAAGTAGTCATTGAATTTTGCATTTTAATTGAGGAAAATCGTCATTTCATCAGATTTGTTGCACTTAACAAACAAATCTGATTTTCTTATCAACATGAATTTCTTGACTGAAAACGAAATAAATTTTTAGTCCACTTTGATTAAAAGTAATTTAATATTTTTACAAAAGTTTATAATTTTATAAAATTGGTTCAAATTTTCTGGATAAATTCATGTTTGACTTAATTACTCAGCTAAAATGAAAAATAGTAATTCTATTTCTTTAGCGATTTAAAATAAATATAAATAATTAATAAGCAATCAAAATTGATTGTAGAACCGTAAAAATTTGTAATTTCTCCAAGTTTACAAAATACATTGAAATTAAAAAATATATTTTTCAACTTATGCCTTTCAAACAAAAGCTCTTCAAGCAGTCTCTCGTTCACTCGTTTCCCTTTTCCCTTGACAACAGCCAGGCTGATTAGCTGTGCAGTCTGTGCCGATTTTTAAGGTGAAAAAGTGCGACGAGGGGAGACGCGCGGTGGTGCGCCTGGGGTTCTGTCTGGCAGCTGTGTTCCGTAATTTGAGCCGCTCCACAAAACTGTATCACTTCCTCACTCGCTTCCCTGCCAGCACGTGCCGTCCTTCCACCTTGAACCGCCGAGAATACAAAAAAGCCCATAAGTGCGTGCATGGGATAGATTAAAAAAAAAAGTACAAAAACCACACACGCCATCAGCACCTTCTCTTATACATAGACGACGAAGAATAGGCAATGCTCTTCCTGCCTCCAATATGTTATCTGTGAGCTCAAACAGAGTGGAAAAACACCCAATGTTATGAACAAAGTTATAGTTGAGCTTCTTTGTATAGATAATATGATTTTGAATTTTATATAGGGTGAGAACAGGTGCTGAAACGCACTGCCAGGGATGGGCAAAAAAATAAAATACAAAAAATGTCTTTTAAGCTAAACAAAATTGACAATTTTTTCTATCAGTCAATTTTAATACTTTTAATAGCCACTCTACAAAACGATCAATAAACGTTTTTTTCTTTCTCACAAAGTCTATGCACAAATAATAGTTTGCAAATTGTTTATTGTTTTTAAAGATAGAAACTAGAAACGTATATTAACATGATGAAAATCAATTTTGCCCTTTTAGTTGCTTTCAAATGGTTAAAATTGATCATTTCAATAATCCTTGTCAATCGTCCAAAGAATATACATAATTATATGAGCAATTTAATTTATATAAAAGTTCACTGAGATATAAAACTATCGTACATGAATTAATTAAGATTTTATTCATTCTTCACCTTCTTGTTGAATTAACTTAATAAAGGAATGTAAGGAAGAAATTATTATCAAAATAATTAAAACTAATTTTAAATTCTGGAATGAAATCAAAAATAAATTTAACTTATTAGATGGACTTTTTGACAAATTTTAAATTGGATATTTCTAACAAATCTCGCTGTAGAAAAGACAAAAATATTTTGTATCCATAATCATAATCGTTTCACAAATCGATTGGTAGAGGGTCAGAACAAAAGAGCCAGACAAAATTGGTGTGTGTGCGTTGGCCAGGGTGGCGATCAGGGGCTAATAATACTGTATTGATTAATGTAATTGGCATGGTGTTGGTTCGTTTGGTGGACCAGACGAATTCACTCACCCGATTGAGCTGCTCGGATAGGCCAAGAAGAAAGAAGAAGTGTCAGATGGATGAAATAAATGCGAGTGTGCCAAAAGAAAGAAAGTAAGACTCGACCGCCGATCGCACAAAAAGCGCAAATCACTTGAATTTGCAAAGCATGAATAGTCAGCCCGAGACATTCGCTCTAAATTTAAAGCTAAGGTGCTTCACAAAGCAAAAATTTGTTTAAGTTAAATCGTTTGACAACTGTTTTAAAGTGAATATGAAAGTGAATTTTATCTCGTTAACTTAATTGAAGTGATTGCAGTATTAATTAAATCGATATAAAAAGTTAATACTAAAATATTAATAATTATTTTGGAAATTCATATTAAGAGCAATGGTAATTTTAATCATTTCTCTAGACGAAAATTTAGTCAAGCGCCGAAATGAGATCGCCAGCATTTCAATCCAGCGCCTTCAAATGATATTTAAACCTAAAATATAGCAGTTTGCTATGTAATTTTTAAAATTCAGGTCTGTTCGCAGACCTTTATGAGACGGTTTAATATCTCATTTTTTTAGTCGCAGATTTTGCAATGAGAAATTTTAGTCCAAAGCCGAAAAGAGACGGCCAGCTTTTTAATCCAGCGCCTCCAGGATTATTCTAGCTGGCCGTCTCACAATTTTTTATTTGCTATTAAGTTGCAAAAAAGACGACAAATGATATTTAAACCTAAAATATAGCAGTTTGCTATGTAATTTTTAAAATTCAGGTCTGTTCACAGACCTATGAGACGGTTTAATATCTTTTAGTCCCAGATTTTGCAAGTGAAAAGGTGTAAGTCCAGAAGTAAACTGTCGTGATCAAAATTACACTCAAGCCGATTTTTAGCTGATGAGACTCATTAATTCTTTTTAATTAACGCGCGCGAGCCTCGCTCTTCGGCGCACAATGAGACAAAGTAAAAGTGCATGCAGGTCGTGGTTTATTTTGTTTGAATTTTTTGTCCAACTCTCCTCGGCGCACAAGACTCTATAAATGGATGCTGTGCACAGAGGGTAATTAAAATGCAGACAACGCCACGCACATGCACACACAATACTGTGCCGCTGATATATTATGTCTCTGCGCGCGGCTCTGACAACAAAAGGAAAGAAAACGCACTGCTTTATTTTCGTGTTGCAAGGACTGCACAACTGCTTCTCGCTCGCGCGCGCGTGCAAAATAAAAACTCTCGGGGAAAGTTAAATTGGCCTTATTTGGAAGCGAACGCAACCCTGCTTCTCTGCAATAGCGGGCAAAAACTTTGGAGAACGATCAGTTATGGACTTGGTATTAAGGGTTTTACTGGAAAGTTTAAAAAGATAATAAATAAATAAATAAAACATGTTTTATATTTAGATATTTAATTCAGTTAATTTTTATTGTAATATGTCTTTGCCCGTTATATAACGTTTAAAAAAATTATTGATATTAAATATTATTTATAATATAGAACCATAATAAAGTTTTCATGAATATTTTTTTGTGATTTTGATATTGACTGTATAATTAATTCATATCTGAATATCCAGTTTTTTTATTGGTATATAAAACTTCAAACGTCCTCTAGTCTTATTCAAAATAAAATCTTAAATTAATTACTGAGTTTTCCCCCTCATTGTGATCAGTTGACAATTAATTCTCATTTAAAAATTATAGTATCTATAAAATTGAAGATAAAAGAGTAATAAACTAAGTCAATTCTTTTCTGTCACATACGGAAATTACACCTTCTATATTATTAGTAATCTTTATTTTTTAGGACATTTCCAATAATTATTCATTTGCATATATTTATTATCCATAAAACTAAATTTCATTTGAAGTCCAACAACAATTTTTCAATTAACCATTACATAAACACAAAAAATTAAATAAAAACCCTTTCTAACATCCTTTATCCTAAAAATAAATTTTCGAATTAGTCTCTATCAATCTTTGAATTTTGCTCAAACTCGTATTCAAATGAAATCTGCCACCCCAGCAACCCTTGCAATAAATCTCATGGAAAAAATTCGATTGCTTCCAGAAGAAGTTCTTTTGTACCGATATAATGGGCAAAGTGCCGCCTTGTACTTACATTCATTAATCGGCAATTTTGCATTGAATGGGACAAGCGCGCGCGATTGGAGCAAAAAAGATCAGCGCAGAGACAAACAAAGGCTCGCCGGCAGGTGCGGCGTGTGCCTGTGGTCCGCGACTTGAGAAGAGGCTCCATGACGCAAAAAGCGGTCCAAATGAGCCTCAAACTCACTTACACACCTGCACATCAAATTCTGCCGCCGAAAGAAACAAAGGGCACAAATTTATGGATGCAGCAACGGCACAATCGAACGTGCACCGCATATTGAAATTTACATTCGGAAGAATGCGAATAAATAAATTTATGCTAATTTCGGAAATTGCCGACCACCTGGTATAGAACCTCATTGGGAATTTTCTTTTTCGTTTCAGCTGTCGTTTTTCACCTACTACACGGTCATCATGGGCGAGGTCAACCCTTCCGGGCCGGTGCCCATCGACAGCATTTTCATCTACAGGCCTGACAAGCGGGCGGAGGTGTGGAGGTTTCTTTTTTACATGGTTTTACATGCAGGGTAAGTTTCTACATGAAAATTTTATTGCACTGTTAAAAATTTCTAGTTCCCTCCCCCCTAAAAATTTAAACTTAAGCCTTTTGTAACCACAATTTTGTATTGCTTATCTTATGATGTTGTTGTACCCAGAAGGGTTAATAAATATGAATATAATTATATTGTAATAAATTTTCAGTTGAAATGAAAGCAATAATATCATTTTCATGTATTACTGAAATTAATCCTACCAAAAAAGTATTTAATAAAAATTAAAATCAAATTGGTCTTTTGAGAAACTGTTCAAAGGATTCCATGAAGAGGCTTAAATTATTATATTTTTATATCAAAAAATCCCTCATTATCAAATAATATACTGAAATAGAATAAAAATTTTGCAATTAATTATGGAGGGAGATATAAAATATTTATTTTGCCATTTTTTAATTTAATAGAAAATTAATTTGATTTTTTCTCATTCAGGTGGCTGCATTTGTTATTCAATCTGCTAGTCCAAGTTTTGGTGGGTCTGCCCCTGGAGATGGTCCATGGATCGCTTCGAATCGGAGTTGTCTACATGGCAGGGGTGCTAGCAGGGTCCTTGGGCACCTCAGTTTTCGACACTGACGTGTACCTGGTTGGGGCTTCTGGCGGAGTTTACGCACTCTTGGCGGCCCACCTCGCAAACGTCCTGTTGGTAAGGAATTTTCGTAAACTGGTTTTAACTGCTTTTGCTAAATTTGTATTCGCTTTGCAGAATTATAACAACATGGAGTTTGGGATAGTCAGACTGATAGGAATCTTTATTGTTGGTGAGTAATTGTTTAATTACTTTAAATTAAGGAAGTGGCCTCGGAGATTATAATTATTTTGCAAGATTTTAAATTACTTTATTAATCGTAATAATTTTATTGCCTTGGAGAAACACACAGTAAGCTAAATGTAGGCAACTTTAGCTACATCACTGTCACGCAGGTTGCATTTTGAGCCTGCAGTCAAAGGAATATCAGTTAAAATAATTTGCTATACAAATATTCATGTAAAGTTTCTAACATTGTTTTTAAAACAAAGATAAGAAAAATAACACATAATTAAAATTAACACATAAAAAAATATATTTTAGTTTAGCTTTCACCATTTTTTTCATTTATTTGGTATTTTAAAACATAATTATTAAATATAAAATTTTATTTTCATTTTTTCAACCAAATTATTTTACTGAAAAATTAATTTGGAAGCAAATTAAATTGATCGCTATGGTTTAAAAAAAAAGAACAGGATTTTTTTATAAATTGTGGCTTTGAGATTAATTATAGTTAGTAACTTATTTCAAGTAACATTTTCTTTGAGCGGGATAATTTTTTCAATCTTTCAATGGAAATATAAATTATTAAATACAATTTTATTCTTTATTTTTAGCGAGCGCTGACGTTGGTTTTGCAATCTACGACCGATACGCCTCGGAGCAGATGGGCCCGCCAGTCTCATACGTGGCTCACCTGACAGGGGCCCTCGCCGGGCTGACCATCGGGTTGTTGGTGCTGAAGAACTTTGAGCAGAAGCTGCACGAGCAACTCATGTGGTGGGTGGCGCTGGGCGTGTACGCCGCCTGCACCATTTTCGCCATCCTCTTCAACGTCTCCAATCCAGACTCGCCCTGATACCACGAGGGGCCCGGCCTGGTGCTGCTGCCCCCCTGATGGTGGCAGCATTGCGCCCTCGCAGACGCTGGGCCGCCCCCTCTTGTGCACCAAGACCCCTGAGAAGAACAAAAAACTGTCGAAAACTGCCGCAGCTAGTGAACCAAAGAAATGAAATTTCCTCCCCTGACGGACCTCCTTTTAGAAAGCAGGCAGGGGTGGACTTCTTGTTGGGGCGTGAGTGGATTTCGAGAGACTGCAGACAAATAATTGCAGTGCTGAGTGCGTCCATCAGTCCGCGAAGAGAAATAATTGTGATTTTATTTTAGAAACTTACTATATAATAAAATATTTGAGATGTGAACTGAAAAAACAAAAAATATGAAAAGATTGCAAACAAACCACTGAATGCTTTATGCTTAAGTATGGACTTATATCAATAATATGCTGTTGACATTTCTGTAGTTGTTCACTCATTAATTTTAAAATTTAATTTGTTGCTCTTATGATTTTTTTTTCGGCTTGGGAAACTGCCAATCTCTGCTGTATTCTAGAGAGGTGCTATTAAAGAAACTCTTCTGAACAAGTGTGTCCAATTCTAATAATAAATAATCATGTTAAAACTACGTTTTGGTAGATAAAATATGAAGGGGAAAATCACAGAACCTAAAGCGTCCATTTACAAACTGCCTGTAGAGTAAGAAGTAACTTTCAAACAGAAATGCATTAAGCTTCAGCCTACCTCAAAAACACGACATTATTAAAAATTATCAATTGACATCCTTTGATGCATCTCAAGTGCTGTTTGCTTTTTTTTAATAAGTTTCACGCTCTCCTCTGCTAGTCTCTAGATTAGCATGCTTTAAAAATGGCCTGTGTATGATTTCATCGTGTATTAACATTCAGCTGTATTTACTTGACAGATGTTTTACTTTGATTATTTTCTCCTGCAGTGAACTTATACTGCGCTGTCTTTTTATACAATTCTGTTTTGTTTCTTCATGTAGCTATGGTCGTGCTATATATTTCCTCACCTTGCCTATCAAATTGGCACTTGAAAAAATATGTATATTCTGTCTTGTATTTACAGTTGTAAATCAATATAAATTAAAATCCTATTGCATACAAAAGCATTGCCTTTTATTTCCACCAAAAATGTGATCCTTTTTATTCTGATTAATTAACGAACAATGAGCACATTGATACAAATTACAAAAGAAAATTTGAAACTTTTGGCATTTTTTCTGAGCCGACAATAGAAGATAAGATAGAAAAAATAGATTTTTTTTTTAATTTTTTTCGTACATATACAATTCAATACCTTGACAGGTGATGGATACTTTCTTTTATCAATATAATAAAGGGAATGTTTACGGTCAATAATTTTGAGGTTAAATTTAAAAAGGTCTAAAAAATGTGCAGAAATTAAAATCTCAAAGAGAAAAAAAAAATTAAAAAAGATACATTTTGAATATTTTGGTTGCTGTAAAGAAATTTCTACTTAGTAATTTTGAAAATCACATTTTACTCATTTAACACTAGATGGTGGATTTCAAACATTTACCTAATTCATTTTTTATATAAAAAAAATGCATCAGTCATGAAACTGTTATTCATTTTCATGGAATGATTTTTTTCCATTTTTTATGAGATTCAATTTTGAAAATAAAACAATTAGGTTTAGTTTGTACCTCAGGTCTTTTATTGCGGTGTCCAACGAGATTTTTAAAACCCCGCTGCGCGCAGCTTAGACACGACTTGAGTCGACCGTGAGAGTGTGTGGCGCTGCGTTTGCATCCCTCGTCGCAGGGAAATTGCAGCAGCACACTAAAGGCATTTTATGGCATTTGTTCATTGCGATCAGATTCAATCCATAAATAGGATTTACTATATTTGTGCCATACAGAGAGTGAGAATATTGAACTCTCACATTTGCAAACAGTATAACAGCTTCAAATGATGAGACAACTTTGAGGCAATGTTGCACCTTTCAAGTTATTAATGGGTTCTTTTTTACTTATCATCGGATGGTACATAATGCATAAATTTAAGATGAAGATAATTATGGTAGGTAATTTATGACAGAAGATTTCTAATTACACACAAATTCCAAATTATACGAAATATGATACAAAATTTTCCTAAAATTTATAAGCCTGGATCACAAAACTTCCGAATTTGGTCCCACCTACAAAGTACTGACGAGTCAAAAGTGAGAAATGCGCATCCCTCGATAAACTTTAGAGCGTTCAACAGTAAATAGAATATATTAATCCGCAGCGATTTTAATTTTGCTTACAATTATTACTCCGTGTGCTCTTGAGAGTAAAATTAATTACACATGGACTTACACCTGTAATTACAACGTAATATCACTTTGTTCACTAAATCGCAAAATCTTACTTCTTGTATTTACGTAAAATCCACCACTAACACCACTTAAATTTTTCGCTAATCTATAATTTCTCATTTGATCGATTCCAATCTCCAGCGACTAAAATTTCATTCAATTTTGGGCGTCCAAGTGCGTGTTTTTTTTTTTTTGTTACGAAGTAAATTTGTTTAATTAAAGTCGAGTGTTGTTATACTTTTGCAGGAATTCAGGCACGAGTTTCCAAGTCTCGTTGGCAGCTTGAGTTGTTATTTTCCTCCAGGTGTTCGACCTCGATGTCCTCGTCATTGTTGGCTTCACACGAAGACTCGCCATCCACAAAACTGCAAAAGAGTTCCAATTAGGCACTTATTAAATTAAAAATTTAATGTGTACTGAATTCACTGATGCCATTGTCATTTTCAGAATAATTGAATTCTATAGATCTCTACAGCCACCAAAAAACATAAATTAATTTTTATTAGGAATACCGAACTTTAAAATCTTGAACAAGTATTTAATGATTGATTTTATTAAAATGTGCGTATATTTGATTAAAATTCATTCATTTGTAAGAAACATAAAAATAAATATTAAATAAGTAAATTACATAAATAAATAAATAAAAATCATATTCTTAACAAAAAAGAAAGACATAATAATGGCAATTATTTATTATGCATTTTTTTTAAATAATAAAACAAAAACTTGAACTTAAGATTGGTTTTTAAATAATAATCAGCCATCTTTCTCTTTAAATACCCAGTCTTCACTTAACGACCCATAAAAATCAAAGCCAAACAAGATTAAGCAAGTGTCCTTTGCAGCAGATTGCTTATCGCGCGTCAGTGCTTCTTTCTTATGCGTGTGATTTGACTGATAATATAATTCGGAGCCTCTTTCTAGCCGAGACAATGGTGCACGGCTGGTGGCGTTAAACAAATTAGAACTGGGATATTAATTACGTGTAAGGTTTTTCCTCGCCGCGCATGTCGCAGATGACGTTGGTTAAGGCCATAATATAGTTCTTGGCCAGGGTCAGAGTCTCAATTTTGGACAGCTTGCGCTCCATCTTGACGTGCGGGATCACCTCGCGTAATTGCTGAAAATTAAGAGTAAAATAAATTTAAGGAACAAATGAAAACTGGTATTTATAAATTAAATGTTCTGTAACAACATCTTATGAAATAGGATTAATTAAAGCACTAAAATGTAATCATAATTATTTTTGCCGAGTTATTTCTAAAGGTTCAGCTCTGTTAATTGTAAATCCTGCATCAATTAAAATAAATATTCAATTTAACTCCAAAATGAAGTTTTTTAAATTAAATACCTCCCCCCATAAAAACCCCTTAAAATGCTTCAAGAAATTCTGTATTCGTAGGTTTTAACCATTTTAGCATAAATAAATTTAAAACGCCCTCTATAAATAATAACAATGTATTTAGACGATTTTCAAATCCTAAAAAGGGGAACTTTTTAACATAATTTGCGACCTAAATATGAGCAAAACTGGGTCGCAACTTTTGACACGTGGGCCTTTACACGGTGCTACAATTTAGTGCAGCCACCGACTGAGTGCTGAATGCAGTGAGCAGGAACGCTCGCGTCATGTGTCAAGGACAATGCGAGAACCAAAACACGTCTCTAATCACGTGCACCGCAGTTTGAAAACGGAAAAAAACACCAACGACGTCATTAAGTGTGTTTTGTTTCCTCGTGTCAATCCACTTAACGAACAATTTACAATTAGTGTAATTTCGTTTCAAGATTTTAATAATATAAAAATTTATTTCTTACTAAGTATAATAAACTTTCAAAAGTTTTTTACTTTCTTAATTCACAAATTTCATTCTCTCAGGTGTTCAACTATTTAATTTGATTTTTATTTTTAATTTTAAAATAAAAAAGCTTTTGTAGTTTTTGTACCTCAAAGGCATCGTTGAGACTGTGCATGCGCATCCTTTCGCGCTCGTTGCTTTCCAAGCGACGCAGATTGCGCTCCCTTGCCGAAACTCTACGCTTGCCCTTTTTCTGCGCTGCGTTCGCGCTGAGCATGGGAGTCGCCTGGTAAGAGGGACTCAACCTGCGCGCAGTCCGTTTCCTTTTGCCGCGTCCGCAACTCTCGCCGTCGCTGCTCGATTCCTCGGAACCTGAAAATCCAACCAAAATCAGAACAAATTCCGGCGTTGATATCACCAAAATGTAGAAGAAAGCAGCAGTTTTAGTTTTAAGATATTTGCAAATTTTATAATTGTGTCTTAACTATTTTTTTTTTTTATTTCTGCATTTTTCTAATAGGTGATTTTTTTAAGAGTCGTTCTTTTGCAATTTCCATTATCAAGCACAAAAATGAGCGATTGATAATTTTTTACTTACTTTAATCTTTTGTTCTATTAATTTATTATTTGTGTAAGAAAAAGTTGAGATTGAAGACTTTTCAAAGAAATGAAGATTTTTTTATTAAAACTGGAATTTTTCCTTTTCTTGCAGTGAAAATTTTGGGGGAATAAATTATTACTCGCTCTAAAAATTTTAACAATTAATTTGAAAACTTGTTGCTTTTCAACTAACAAAAAATATTCATAATTTCAATTTTAATTTATTAATTTATTTTAATTAATTGATTTTTAAACATTTTGTGCTGGTATTTTGCAAAAGAATGACTCCCTAATTTTTGTATATTCAAAATTTTATTATTTACTGTTTGTACCGTTGGGACGTTTAGTGTCCTCCGAGGGCTCCGAGTTGTCCAGCAGCTCGACCTCCACGTCTTCAGAGTCCTGCCAGTAGGTTGGCCTGTTGCTGGCCTGGCCCCAGTCTGCTTCCTCCTCCTCACTGACCGCCGGGGGCCGACTCACGCCCCCGGAGCGCATCTTCTCAGCTCACGCAGACTGCGAACACAAATTCACCAACGTATAATTTCAAGTAGCAAAAATGAGGCGGCATAATCAAAAATGTAAACAGACCCGCGGCGATAAATAGAAAAAACTGGATTTTCGTCGCAACCTATTTCCCGTCAACTAGACAAGCCGTTTAATTAAATTATTGCCAAAGGCTCTTCAAACGATGAATGTTATTTTGTATTTAACAAAAACAGCAAAGGTCAACGTACCCTTGAATTGATTTTCTAAACTGGGCTGAATTTGAAAATATTCTCTTTATAATGCACGTGTCTGCATTTTTTTTTATTTTACTTTCCGACTCATCATAAAATCCAGTTTGCTTTTTTGCAATTAAGCGCATGCAAATGCTTCCCCGAGTCTTATCTTTCTGACTCTCTCGCCAGAATTCCGCTGCAATAACAATAATATTGATATGTACAGGGGGACGAGTATATTATGTACTCTCGCCGCGGTTTGTGTAATAATAATTCCAAACACAAGAAGCACACCGGTAATTATCTTCTGCCTGGCGGTCGTAAATATTTTGAAAAGAAAGTCCAATTAGACGAGAGATGGAATTTTTATTGTGACGCCGCGAGTACATTGTTTGCGGCGGCCGATCTCGCTCTCTCAAGAGTTTTAGAAATTTTTCGCTCGCTTCTGCGGAGAAAGACTATCAAAATTTTTTCAATCAATCACCGCAGATTAGATTGACAAAGAAACGCAATAAGTTGGCAATTCCACGTTTGATTTTTTTAAGGGCCCAGTGATATTGAATCTCAATATTTTAATTCTTTACTCTTGTCATTCTGCTGGCGTCGCACTATCTCTATCAAATGTTATGCAACTGAAAAACTCTTTGTGCTCGATATGCACGACTTTTTAATCAGCAGCTCTCACCTTGAAAATATCTGTGTCGCTGAGGACAGTTTTTGCAAGATAAACTTTAAGATGAACAATAAACAGTATATCAGAAATTTGCAGACGTAAAATTAATTTATAATAAGCATATACAAAATTTGGGCTCAAGAGAAAGTAGATTAAATTACTGGCAATAAAAAAATAATTATGTATGCTCTGTGATACAGAGTCATTTGAGTAGGGCTTCAAAATTTTAGTCGATCAAGTACTTTTCTCCTGCTTATTTTCAAAATTATCAATTATTATCAAGATTATATCTCAACATTGGGCAGATGAGGAGAGATATCACTGATCAAAAATAACAAAAAATTTAGAAAGAAAAATTGTAAAATCATCTTCAGTTGCAATCTTTTGCACTTTTCTGTGATTTCATTTAACTTTCAAGACCAAATTAGATTTAAAAATAAGCAAAATTAAATTGTGAAAATATTTTTTTTTTTTTTAATGACTCTAGAAACTCAATAGTTTTTTATCTTGATAATAAAATTTAGTGAAACCTTTGATATCAACCAAATCAGCTGAAAAACGAAGCAAATTGTCTAAAAAAAAAATCATCAGATGAACTTAAATAATTGTCAAAATACAAAAGAATGATATCAATTCTAAATAATAATAATAATTCAGTATTCATAGTTCACAATTAACTTTAAGAAAATCAAGATTATGAAACAAAAGTCCTCTCCAAATGCACCAAAAATTTGTTCTTCAATTCATAAATGTGTTTTCCAATCCTAAACATAAGAATTTTTTTTATCAGCGATGACCAGTTTTTAAAATTATAAGAAAAAACTGGCACCTCTTCAAAAAAAAAAAGTAAAGCGCTTGTAATCTAATACACTAAGTAAAACTGGCCGTTTGACTTTTCCACTATCTATATTGCTTGCTGTGTCGCAGCAAGACAGGCGAGGCGAGTAAAATTTGATTACAGGTGACAGCTGTGAGGAAGGAAAGGAGAAAAGTGCCGAACGCACGTGTTGATAATAATAAAATATTATAGAAAAGTTCTCGCCTGGCTAGGCTGGTGTCGGGTCACGCAGGGCGTTTTCCTGCTAAAACCAACACCATTCCCCTCTTTGCCAATGCGTTTGAATAGACAAAAGAAAGAAGAAGAGGAACAGGATTGGCGAAAATAAAAGCGTCAAAATTAGGGCAAGGCACTTATTTTTTTGGCAGAAAAGCTGCAGCGTCGACACCGGATGTGGGCTTGGATTCAAACCACAGTAATTTTATGTAATTTAATTTTGAAATTGGCCGGCAGCACATCGGTGCACAGAGACAACTTTCACCCTTTGAGCTCCAACGGTCTGTGCGTTGTCTGCGAAAAAAAAACGGCACACCTGAATTAAAGTGATGCGGTGGGGGGAACTACATGGAAATGATCGATCATTTTCATGAAATTAGTTTATTGCAGAACCTTAAGGATATTGAGAGGAAAAGGCAGAGATTGAGAGAAATCACATTAATTCTAGTCATAATTGTTCCAGTAAATATTTGTTTTTAATTAATATTATTTATTATTTAAAATATTCATGCATTTAATTTTCATTTAAATCTAAAATAATTAAAATAAAATGAATTTGCCATTTTTCTTTATTAAAATGTTATTGAAATTTTTTTAAAGAAGTTATACGTAGGAATTTATACAAACTGTAGCATTATGCATCTATTTATAAATTATATAGTTTGCTTCTTCAGCTTCTTGTAATGATGGTAAGAAAATGAAGAATTTGCTCAATTTGCTGTTGGAGTATATTGTTGCCATTCAATTATTTCAATTATAGCATCAATAAATTTTATATCAAATTTAAATAATAATCCAAACAATTTGAAAATTTATTTGTTGCAAAGATTTAATAAGAAATATTTCATTTTTTCTGAACATTTTTGTTTATAAATTTGCAAGAATTTCAAGAAAACTTTCTATTTTTTCAAAGTATCATAGAAGTCATGGAGTGCTAAAATATGGTGATCAGCACGCTTGGCCGCGTGAGGTATTTTAGTGCGAACACCCACCAGTGTCAAAAGTCAAATAAAAGCAATAATCCCGTTGGAAAAGCCAAACTTTTATTGCACGTTTAGAGATCACACGGCGGCGATACGAAAAGAAGAAAGAAAGAATCATACATGAAATTTGCACGCGCGTCCAAGTTTGTTTTCTTTTTCGGCACACTCTCGACTTTGTTGTGCCAGGGTCAAAGGTCAACGAGCCTGTCTGCCGGCAAAGAGAAGGAGAGAGTGAAGGCGGCCGCGGGCCAGGGCTGGGCACCTTTGATTTATAGTAAGTGGGCCGCGCCATAACAAACGCACTCCATCTCATGAACATATTTTTTGTACATGAGGTGTATGAATTTATGACCGAGCGGTGCATGAATATGCTTTTATTGCCAAACTTCTTCGCGGCCGACGGACTCGAGATTCAATTTCACGATTGGATTGTAAATTGTTTAATTTATGCGTGCTGTAAAATAATTAAATGTTGCAAATGAGAGGCAAATTTTTCAACGTCGTGGGTCTTAAAGACTTCGCTGACAGCATAGCCGGATTCAAAGTGCTCTGTACTTAAGTATCCTTGAAATTGTAAAACAATTTTTTATAATAGACTCGGGTATTATTTCACTCTAACAATCTAATTTTTTTATTCACTGAATTGGAAAAACAGAAGATGAAAGCAAAAAACAGGAAAGACAATAAACGCCAATCTAAAAAAAGTCATAAGCCGACTTAAATTTTTTTTTTAATTATTTAAACCGAAGTGCACATGAAATTTTCGGAAGATTTATAGCAATACCAAATTAGTAAGACATTTTTTTTTTATCGAGAACCGATTTTTTAATTCAATGGATTGGAAAATGTCAAGAATTGAGTGTAATGTTTTATTTTATGCTAAATAATTCTGATTTGTACGCACTCGTGTAATTATGACAATTTTATTAGCACGCCGATCGTCGGCTAATTGATTTACTGTGTCATTTCAACAGCAGCTAATAACACGGCGGAGCATTAAATTAAAGCAGTACACCACTCGCGGCTAACGTGAAATATATAACAGTCGGATAAGCCGGAGGAATTTTCCTCATTTCACACCGACAAGCAAATAAACGAGAGCGCGGCGATTAATTAAATATAAAGCGCGGAATAACAACTTGACGTGTTATCCTCCCACTGTGCACACGCGGGTAGTCAATCGCAGCGTCTCCTTTTATTGCTTTTCATGCACCAAGGATATTATTAAATTGCTCGTTAAATCCACCATGCAGTAATTATTAGGTTGCGAGAGCATCTATTACCTGGTGATTGTTTAACTGGAGAATCGTTAAAGCGGAGCGCAGATAGAGTTGTTTGCGGAGATTATAAAAATTTAAAATTATACCATCTTGAATAGGATTTAAAAAAAATCGTTATAGAATGGATTGGGTTCCATAAAATTATGTCCTCAAGCAGTATTACCAAATCTCAAATCTATCAACTGTCAACAGAAGTTGTAAATCTTAATTTAAAAAAAAAAATCAAACCGACGGTAATTGGGGTTAATTTTTTTACACCAAAGTGTACTTTCCCATAATTTTGATAATTACTTATGTAAATTTAGATTTCAAACAATTACGAAATATTTCTATTTCAACTTAATTAAAGCCATTAAAGAGATATAGAGTTGATTTTAAAAATTCTTGATTTTCATTGATTTAAATAGGGCAGACTTTGAGAGAGAAAATAATATTTTAAATAATTCTCAGTGATAATAAAGACAGTGATAATTGATATTATCAATTATTATTATAATAATTATTAAAAAGGTTTATTTTAGATTAATTAAAGGTATCCTGTGTTGCCTCAACCGATATGAGCTCTAAAAATGATCAATGTTTTTTAACTTTTGAGGTACTTAAAATAATCGTTCAAAATTCCGATTAAAAAACAATTTGAATAATTTCAAATTTATGAATAATGCAGCTGGCAGTGCATTAAAATTCCTTTCCTTGTGCAGCTGCAATTATTTTCACCATTATCTCCGCAGCACTTGAGTTGCACTTCCAGCAGCAAATTCCCCGAGCGTGTTTAAATAAAGACGGAATTCCAACTTGTCACTC